AATTTACTGTTTCTGACTGAATTGGAGATATTGATGATGCTGTTTTACTAATCAGTCCTGAGACAGAATATTGAGGTGTTTTTTTACTTTCTGTCTAGACACAATATCCCTGTAGTCTTGGTGATTGATTAAACTACAATATCAGATGTCTTTTTTATATGATTGTTACCATATCCATATATTGTATTGTCACTTTCTTAGTGCGGGCAGACTTTAGATTGTTGTGAAGGTTTTTTTACTATGAGTATTTTGGGATGGGAGGCGTAGGATAGGGTAAGTAATGGGTACTTTGTGTATTTGGGGTTCTAGGTTTGGGGAAAGCTATTTTCACTTTAGTAGGTTGGGGATTGGGGTATTTGAGTTGAGGCAAAGTTTTTCAACTCTTAAGAGTGTGTTTGGAGATTGGAAGGAGGGGGAAACTAACACTGGGGGGTTAAGTATTGACACTTGTGTGTGATGGGGATTTGTGATTTTAGGGGAGGGGAGGTGCAAATTAGGTTGGGGTAAGGTATTGTCAATATGTAGGGGCTTACGACAGAATACTAATACTTTTAGCTTTTGGACTTTGTTTGTAGAGATTTGGGGGTGGGGGTGGTTTAAGTTATTTCTTTTTTTGGGGGGGAGGGGAGGGGGTAGGATAGGGTAAGAGTATAGTTTTGCAACTGTGGATGAGAGAAATTTGAAATTAGGGTTGAGGTAAAGAAGGCAGATGATTCCTCGTACAAATACAACACATTATTATATGATAAAAGACAGTAAACATCAAATATAGGGAAATATACTTATCTAATTTCAATTATAAAACCTTTAAACCTCAATTTTTTTCTGTCTGGTACAAAAGGATATAATGTAAATATTAAGTGTCTTACCAGTATCTTATTGCCCTGTTGTCTGGAACTAATGACCAGCGACTTCCCATAAACACACTGTACAAAGCTGTTAGGTCACTAGCAATATTTTACAGGGTAGCCCAACATAAAGTGGACAAATTCCAAGATAAAACACAAAGAAGAGGCCCCATGGGCTTTTTTTTCTTAACCCTTTAGCTACTGTAGACCATAATGGACTCACCCAGATTAATGTATGGTAGAGTCCACTAAAGTTACCTGGGGTTGAAATGGTTAATGGACAGACTGCAGAGAACTGCAGTGTGGCCGTGTCTTAATTTTTTTAAACTTTGAATGACACCCCTTGGGCACGAAAGATGTTTTTAACGTTTACCTTACACATAATTTTACCGTGTCTCTAGGTATGACACACCTTGTAAACAAACATCACAAAATTGTGAACAAAGACAAGTGTAACCTAGGAATAATTCGAGTTCAACTTAGACCGACTTTAAGAGGACTAAATATTTCCATTGTATTGCCTGTTTGTCAACAGGTGACGGAAGTCCTCGGCTATTGGTTAGTTGTCGTTAACATTTGAGAATATGCGATAAATGTTCCGTGAATACCACAATATGTATAATTGCTTATGTCCTAGGCCATCACTATTTACTGAACTGGCAGAAATTGGAGGCGCGGTGGATTAGTGGTAGGACGCCGGGCTCGTGACCGAAGGGTTGTGGGTTCGAGCCACATCACGGCACTGTGTTGTATCTTTGAGGAAGATACTTTACTCCACTTGTTCAAGTCTACTCAGCTGTAAATGAGTACATGGTTGGGCAGGGCTATAGAACTGTTGAATGCTCGCAGTGAGCGCCAAAATGGCAGCACCGGCTGTATGCTCCCCAGGGAGTTGAGAAACATATTGGCTGGTTGCAAAGGTCTTATAACCATGGATAATAATTGTGAACTGCTTTGATACAACCTACGAACTAGCTTGTGATAAAGCCGTATATAAGAATCTCAAATTATTATTATTCTTATTATAGAAATTAGTGACAGAACATTGTGCTTACATGCGATTACATGTTTGTGACAGACTCTGATGACATTAACTCATTCACCCTGAAGACACATTTGAACCCTTCCAATTCAAAGGTTGGAATAGTTCAATATGAAATTTCAGGGGTGAATAAGTTAAAGAGGTATTTAAGGTAGAACTAACAGGTTACGTCACTATGAAGTTTTGCATAGTAGCACAAGTAGGCCCTTTTTGGCAGGTGTCTATCATTGGAAAGAGTGTAGTGCGAAAACAGTTCAACCGATTTTAGTGAGCTAAAAATCAATATTAAAAAAACACGTTAGCCTTTTTTCTTCTTAACTGAAGCAGTTTATCTTGAAGCAGGATCTGTTGGCCTCAGCTTCATTTCAGTAATGATGTGGGATTATCTCAGAAGTTAGGAACATATCCTACACATTAAGGTTTTGATTATCAGTGCAGATCCACCATTGTAATGGTACCAGTCCTATACTGACTACCATTGAGCTTCAATAGGAATGTAGATCAAATTACCTACACCAGTATATCAACGGTAATCACCAATTTCCTCTCATCTATATAAGTTACTGTCAATCTTCATTTTATTTCATTCTATGCACTGTTCATAAATCAAATTAAAGCCAAGGAGTTCTTATAAAACATGCCCTAACCCTTTCTATTTAATCTTTTTAATATTAAACTATTTTAAGAAGTTTGTTTTAAGTGAGTAAATTTTTCAGAAATCACCACCGGAACATGTGTGTTCATTTAAAAAATGCTGGATACATGCATGTCAGCATTCCCCCCCCCCATCCCCCCTTTCAATTTTTTTTTCGCATTTGAAAAAAAAAGCATTTCCTGGACAATATAGGCTAATGATGTAAATGTACTTTTAGTGGAGCATACAGTGCTCAGCCATCAGCTCGCCACTTTAATCTCTATCAATTCTACAATGGTGAGTGTAGAAAACAGTGCACACGAACCCTTACATACAATAATTAAGTTCTCTGTAATGAGGCTAGATAAAGTTACTAAATTCTATTATTTTTTTCATTCCTTAAGGATAACTATGTACAATCTCCAGTAATGGATGGTGAAATCCTTTGCAGGTATTCCTGGATAAAAAAAACAACGGCCTGCTCTATGGGGATAGCTAACATGTCCAATAAAATCTGTAAAAATACTGGTTACCAAATCATTACTACAAAGCTATCATCTGTTTAGACCGACCACCAAAAGGCTGTTTAGGCCGACCACCAAAAGTTACCTACAATCAAACAGGCCCCATACACCAATTTCCTGCCAGAAGAAATCACCTAACATTACTCCGAATGTACCTGCACTAAAGGCAAGTAACATATTTTGCAGAAAAACTTTGCTGAAAACGATTTAAAGTATAAACTACCTATAAGACTATTTAATAAATGTACTGAACAATGATAGAAATCTAGAACATGTTTGAACTTTGTCTGTCTCCCAAAAGACATGGTATAATAGGTTAAAGTTCATATTGCAAGACATAGATAACAAGTCAAATTTCAAATTTAAATACATGGTATATTAGGTCAAAGTTCACACTGAAAGACATGGTAAAAATTGTCAAGGTTAATATAGAAATACATGGTATAAAAGGTCAACTTTCATATGAAAGATATGACATAATAGGTCAAAGTTTTCGACTTAAAGACATGGTTTATAGGTCAAAGTTCATACTGAAAGACATGGCATAATAGGTCAAAGTTCAAACTGAAAGACATGGTAAAATAGTTTGAGGTTCATATTGAAAGACATAGCACGACAGATCAAAGTTCATATTTAAATACATGGTATGATAGGTCAAAGTTCAAACTGAAAGACATAGTATATGATAGGGAAAAGTTCATATTGAAAGACATGGTATAATAGGGCTACAAATCTTTATAAATGATTAACACTATGGCAATTACACATGGACATGTTGAAATGACAAGTCATATGTTGGCATTGAAATCCTTCTTATACTAAAGGAGTTTTCAAATTAATCAATCTTGTCGGCCTAGATTGAAGAACGTAGATTGTCTTAATGTGGGAGGAAACCAGAGTCTCCAGAGAAAACCCACGTGGTCACTCTAGGAGTAGCAGACTAGACATAGCTGTGTGTAAATGACATACTCTTAATATCACTGGAAACAACACCATGGTTATGCAGTCAAAGGTTTATGCAATGGTCCTGATGTGTGTAAAGCATCATTAAAATCGGTCAAGTTCTTCAGGAGAAGTAGTGTTGACAAAATTGTGTCTACAGACAAATAGATTACATCAATGAAAACAACATGGTGGTCATGCATGCACAGATTTATTGATGGGCAGATGTATGAAAAGTTTCATTAAAACTGTTCCATTAACTCATTCACCCTGAAATTTCATAATGAACTGTTGCAACCTTTGAATTGGAAGAGTTCAAATGGGTCTTCAGGGGTTTGTCAGTAGTGGGGACAAAACTGCTGACATAAAGAAAACCTGCTTCTAAAATACCACCTCCCTTACATTTAGATAATGGTGCGGGGGAGGTGGGTGGGGTTGATGATGGAGCAGGGGTGGTGGGTGGGGTTGATGATGGTGCGGGAGTGGTGGGTGGGGTTGATGATGGTGCGGGGGTGGTGGGTGGGGTTGATGATGGTGGTGTTAGTGGCGTCAGGGGTATGGGTGATGTGTATAGTGATCATTTGATATCAGACCTGTAATACCCACCTTTCATATCAAAGAAATAAGGTGCATTATAAACACCTACACACTCACAAATGTAAGCTTACCAGTTCACCTACATATTGCGTGACATTTTTAGCGACATTTTAAAGGTCAGTTGTGCTTAGTATATACATGTTTGCTTAGTACATGCATGAGGGGGTGGCAGACATGTAGGTGGTGGCTACCTGAAACCATGTGCTTCTGGCTAGACTGGCTTTGGGTGGTTTACATGTAGTATAGGTGGGGGGCTACCTGAAACCATGTACTTCTGGCTAGACTGGCTTCGGGTGGTTTACATATAGTTTAGGTGGGGGGCTACCTGAAAATGCTGGCTTCTGACTCGGCTTACTTAGACTGATGGAATGGTTATGTGGTGTAGAATACAGGTAGAAATGATTTATAAGTACCTGAAGACGTTGGCTCCTGATGACTAGACATGGCTAAGAGTGACGAAGTATCTAACGAAGGGTGTTGGTGGTGATGGTGGTGATGCTCAAGGTGTGGTCGGGGTGGAGACTTGGTGGCTGTTGTTGTGGAGACGGTTGTGTGGGGGTCACCTTCGCTGCTGTGGGGGCTAGGGAGTGAGGGCTCACTACCCAAACTCCTTTCCACCGTGTCCGGACTCTGTCGTACGTCAATCATTTTAAGACCCTCAGCTGTCCACTTTATTTGTAAACCTGTAAACAAAAATATACTTTTTAACTTGTTTTATCTGCAAAACATTATAGTCTATTTTGTGCTGAGGATATTCTTCAATCCCGTATATGGCAAAAACTTCTTCAATAAACACTTGATGAAATGTAGAGAGCGATACAATTTTTTTCAAACAGTACCACATTGTTTGTGGTAAATATTGAATAAAACAATAACTGTAAGCCACAGGACAGGCATCCTAATAACACTCACTCAACCATTTAAGTGGTTTTTTAAATCGTAACTGGTTTCATAGTTTTGAAAAATCTGTCTAGACATTACAACAAGAGGCCCACGGCCCTTAACGGTCACATGAGTCCTACAGTATTTGTTTTTGTTGTTGAAATATGTACGATTTTGAGTAAAAAAAAGTTAAGTATAACGTTAACAACACTTTGTCAGGACCATAAGCTGATCAATCATACCAAGTTTCAGTTCAATCGGCCTAGTAGAACTTGACTTTAAGTTTGAAATAGTTTTTCAAAATGGCGGCCGTGGCGGCCATATCGGATTTCTGATCGACCCAAAAAAGAACAACAATTTGTCAGGACCATAAGTCGATCATTCCTATTAAGTTTCAGTTCAATCGGCCCAGTAAAACTTATTTTTGACTTTAAGTTTGAAATAGTTTTTCAAAATGTTGGCTGTGTCGGCCATATTGGATTTCTGATCGACCCAAAAAATAACAACACTTTGTCAGGACCATGAGTCGAGCATTCCTACAAAGTATCAGTTCAATTGGCCCAGCAGAACTTGACTAAAAGTTTGAAATAGTTTTTCAAAATTGTGGCCGTGGTGGCCATATTGGATTTCTGATCAATCCGAAAAATAACAACACTTGGTCAGGGAGATGTCAGTAACATTCCCATGAAATATTAATGAAATCCCTTTGCCAGTATTTCAGCTTAAGTTAAAAAGGTAAAATGTTAACGGACGACGCCGGAGGAAGACGGAGAGCAATCGGTCACTTGAGCTAAAGCTCAGGTGACCTAAAAAGGGCAATAACTCTGGGGAAAAAAGTTGAAACCAAATTATAAATATTAGGTGCAAACAATATGATGTACCGATCATGCATATATAATTTTGTTGAATTATGATAATTACTGTGGAGAAATTAAAGGTTTTTTATCCATGACCAGAGAGAGTGACAAGCTGATTCTAGTATATCCACTTAACTTTGTTGCGAGTGGTATTATAACACCAAATTTGTATATCAACACTTTTCTTTCCAATTCAAGTGATTTTAAATACAAATATATATATATATATTTATGTATGAGATATGAAGATTTTTTAATGTAACAAAACCAGAAACATTGATTCTATTAAGGCCAATGCATGTATATAGTAATCTGAAATATACAGTATTTATCCAGTGATAAGCCCACGCCTGGTTATAAGCCAATCTGTATTTATAGCAGTTCAGGAGAAATGCCAACAAGTGATATTTTATTGTCCTGATTGTCCTGTTTAACCCTTTCATCACTGTAGACCATAATGGATTCATCCAGATCATTGCATGGTAGAGTCGACTAAAGTTATATAGGGGTGAAAGGATACTAGGACCCCACACCCATCCTATTCTGAGTCAGATATTATTTATTACACATTGGTTTATTTCAAGATACAAATCATGCGTGTCTTTGAAATTAAATGTCTTTAAAAACAGATGAATTGTTAGACATATTCTTACTGAAATAAACTGTTCCTTTAAATACATTTGATTTAATTCCTGATACATGTACCATGTTTTCTGATTACTCAAATCTTTAAAAAAGGTTTAAGTAATTTCTACAGATATCAACAATACTTTTCATACCTGGTCCGCACATTGTCAAAGTACAACAAAGACACGAAAGTACAACATGATTGTATGCTATATTATATGTACACATCAGCTGATTATAATTTCGGGATGCCACAAAGTCAAGCTGACCTACCTTCTCAAGTTCATAGACACACATGATTCAGATCTATATCTGGGATTTCCCCAGGCCCGTGTTGACTAAAGGTGTAAGCTATTTCGTAATACAGGGATAGACCGTTATTAATGTCATGCCATATGTTACAATTCTTGACTTGTACAGTTATTGGTCTAATCAATTCATAACCATAGCATTTTAATATCTGTTTTCTGTTTTTTAAACAGTGTTATATTACATGAACAATGCTAACACAATTGTAAAAGGATATTACTCCAGTCGACTGGCATGTACTAGTATTTATTTTAGGGCATTAAGTGAAGACAAAGAAAACAAAGAATAATTTGACCCATTTTTACGATACCAGTGACGTCATCGTTACCTAGTTCTGTATTTTGACTGTGTTTGTCTCAATACAGGACAACAAATGAGGTCGCTAGGTGTATACTAGGGTATGGTATACAGAGTTTTATTTAATCAGACAGTGTTAGACCGAGTTTGACAAATAATACCAATTCTACTTCACTTCTTTCTTGACTCATTTCAATAAGCTTTTTAAAAGTTTGTTAAAGTGATGGTCTGGATTCTCATCTTCACAAATAGGAAAGAATAATGCCTTTACTGTGAACATATGGAGCCCCTGAAAAGACACACATACTTAATGTATTAAGGTCTGTTTACAGATCCCCGTCCCACTGTACTATGTTTTTTCCTATATACAGTAACCTCCCCTTAACTTCCATTTAGATGCATCTGTATCACTGTTTGGCCAGGTGGCTCAATCGGTTAGAGCGAAAGTATACAAATCTGAAGTCTAGGGTTCGAATCTCAGTCTAACCCTGCTGAAATGTTTACACTCAGATCGAACACTGTTGTTGATGATGTTTTGTTTATTTTCTCGTTTCTCATTAAAATCCCATATTGTATGGGTTTCTTTTCAGAAATGATTTATCAAAGCTATAGTAATGCTGGAAACACAGTCTCCAATATTTAGTTACAGTTTTTGGCAGTGGTATGGGTTTCCTTAAATCTAAATGAAAGGAATGGGACAAGATGAGGCAATGTTTGTAGAAAGATACATCGATACCAGAGGTGGAACAATGTACATAATATACTGTGCCAGTTATTGCTTGCTGTATCAATACAATTGACCACTATGATCAACTTTAATAAAATAAAATTGTTTTTATGTACACTTTTAGTACACATGCCCTTTAACAGTTTGTCCTGAAGAACGCACTGAAATCCTTATTATAAATTTGATTTAATAATTATGTAGTTATGGCTGGATGAATTGCAATTTGAACAAACTTAAACGTTTAAAATTTTAAAATCTTAAATACCCAGTTTATTGTATACAATATTTATACTATTTAATTGACCCAGTATTCAAGTTTAAACAAATTCAAAATCATTTTTTTTGTGATATATGATATCTGATCTCTGACAAGAATAATTTTTTAAATCCTTACAAAATTACCCAGCCCATACGCATCAAAACTGAATGTTTCTTTTTTTACATGTTAAATATCTCAACATGTACAGGTGTTAACATAAACATGTGAGGTAATACTGCATATTCCCAGGTGGATCGCTGAAGGCTTAAAAAAACACCACAGTCAAACGTGACAGCATGCAGGTGTATAAATATTGTAAGGTAACATGTCTATAAGCTGATGCTATAACATAACAAAGGAATGCTTTTAACTGAAATGAAAATAATCAAGATTCTTCCATAATTTGGGAATTTTTTTGACTTCATTATAACTATAACTCTTTATCTGTAACATATAAATCATAACACAGGAATGCTTTTAACAGAAGTGAAAATAATTCAGATTCTTCCATAATTTGGGGGAAATTATTGACTTCATTACAACTACAATAAAAATTATTTATCTGTAAAATTTAGATTTTTTGAATATTCACGAGCTTTTGTAGTGAATTGCCAAGTTGACTGTTTTTTTCAGGGTTTAATTTGTACCAAACATCCACAAATTCACCACAACAGCAAGCATTTCTGATAGAGTGCTATTACATATCCAACATTCTTTTAACCCATTTAATATAAAAGCAAGGCAAAATATTACAGGGAAACCACATTTCCTGACATTTGGAAAACCTTCAGTAAAAAAAATGACCGAAAGGCAATAGTCTTGTATATAGTCAGGAGCAAGATCCGATTTCATGTATGCAACACACTGCAATCCCATGAGGTTTATACAAATCTGGCAATTTAGATGACATAGTATGTGGGATATACTCTAGACAAAGTGACAAATGGTTCACAAAGAGCCATAACTCTGTATATAAAGTGAGGCATGAAATTTGATTTCAGTATGTTCTTCCTTCCCATGAGGTACTCAAATACAAAATTGGGTAATTGAAGGTGACAGAGTATATGAGAAATGCACTGAACAAAGCGACACAAGGAGAACAAAGGGCCATAACTCTGTATAGTCGGGAACGTGACTACATTTTAGTATGCAACACTCCACCATCCGAAGAGGTACGCACATGATTTTTTTTTTAGAAATTTCAGGTGACATATGCCTGAGATATGCAGTCGACAAAATGATAGTAAGGAAAGGACAATAACTCCGTATTTTTTTGGGCATGAGATCTGATCTCAGACAGCAACACTTCACTATCCTGTGAGGTACTCACATCCAGATTTGGCAAATGTACACACAAAATTTGACAATTTAGGTGACAGAGTATATGAGATATATATACCAGAAAAAGCAATGCACCAACTGACAGAGTGACTGACTCACAGAGTGCAAACCGTTGGTCCCCTTCTGTAGTACTGCTGGGGGAATTAATCAGTCAACTGCACGAACATCTTGTATGGAATTAATAATGCAATTGTTCATATTCATCCATAAAATGTAAGCCAGCAAATGAGAAAATATCAAAAAATGTATTGACGGTAAAGAGCAGCAGAGGAAAAACTTACCCTTGGGTAAACAGTGGACCAAGGACTGACCCTTGGGGAACAAGTCAGTCTGATAAACAGTGGACCAAGGACCGACCCTTGGGGAACAAGTCAGTCTGATAAA